AAAGTCAATGACCTTTTGTTTTCCAGAGGACAAAGTGGGTCTGGATCGCACCCCTCTTCTCTCCGACAGACCCAACCTTCCCTTTCTGGAGGCTTTCATCCTGGAGATTTTCCGCCACTCTTCCTTCCTGCCGTTCACCATCCCTCACTGGTGAGTCTGCTCTTTCAGAGGAGGGAAAGTACCAGACGAATATTAATAATTATGCATTTTATTTACAGAGCGCTTTTCTAGAAACTCAAAGACACTTTAAAGAGTAAAGAAATCTAAGTATTGAGCTCTCTTTGGAGAACGAAGAACAGGTCAACCATCTAAGAGCATTAATAATCAGAAGATGAACTAGAAGTCCTCACATCTTGTACTGGAGTAAAAGTAGAAGTACTCAGATCTGGTAGTAAAAGTAGAAGTACTCACATCTTGTACTTGACTAAAAATAGAAGTACTCAGATCTTGTACTGGAGTAAAAGTAGAAGTACTCAGATCTTGTACTTGACTAAAAATAGAAGTACTCAGATCTTGTACTGGAGTAAAAGTAGAAGTACTCAGATCTTGTACTTGACTAAAAATAGAAGTACTCAGATCTTGTACTGGAGTAAAAGTAGAAGTACTCAGATCTTGTACTTGAGTAAAAGTAGAAGTACTCAGATCTTGTACTTGAGTAAAAGTAGAAGTACTCAAGTCTTGTACTTGAGTAAAAGTAGAAGTACTCAGGTCTTGTACTTGAGTAAAAGTAGAAGTACTCAGATCTTGTACTTGAGTAAAAGTAGAAGTACTCAGATCTTGTACTTGAGTAAAGTAGAAATAACTCAGGTCTTGTACTTGAGTAAAAGTAGAAGTACTCAGTCTTGTACTTGAGTAAAAGTAGAAGTACTCAGGTCTTGTACTTGAGTAAAAGTAGAAATACTCAGATATTGTACTTGAGTAAAATTAGAAGTACTCAGATCTTGTACTTGAGTAAAAGTAGAAGTACTCAGGTCTTGTACTTGAGTAAAGTAGAAGTACTCAGATCTTGTACTTGAGTAAAAGTAGAAGTACTCAGATCTTGTACTTGAGTAAAAGTAGAAAGTACTCAGATATTGTACTTGAATACACGTAGAAGTACTCAGATATTGTACTTGAGTAAAAGTAGAAAGTAGAAGTACTCAGATATTGTACTTGAGTAAAAGTAGAAGTACTCAGGTCTTGTACTTGAGTAAAAGTAAAAGTACTCAGGTCTTGTACTTGAGTAAAAGTAGAAGTACTCAGATCTTGTACTTGAGTAAAAGTAGAAGTACTCAGATCTTGTACTTGAGTGAAAGTACTCAGATCTTGTACTTGAGTAAAAGTAGAAGTACTCAGGTCTTGTACTTGAGTAAAAGTAGAATACTCAGGTCTTGTACTTGAGTAAAAGTAGAAGTACTCAGATCTTGTACTTGAGTAAAAGTAGAAGTACTCAGGTCTTGTACTTGAGTAAAAGTAGAAGTACTCAGGTCTTGTACTTGAGTAAAAGTAGAAAAGTATTACCATCAGAATGTAGTGGAAGTAGCGACAGTAAAAGTAGTGATTGTGTTGAGGTTGTAATTCTAAATGCAAAGGAGTGAACATTAACACTATTTCTCTTTCTCTTTCAGCACCACTAAAGACACGTCTCTGAATGGATACTACATTCCCAAAGACACTTGTGTGTTTATCAATCAGTGGCAGATCAATCACGACCCGTGAGTTCCCTGTTTCTGAATGAATGTGTTGAAACATTTGAAAAAGACTGACACTCACACTTAGGAGCTGCTCAGTACAACTAGCAAGTTCAAGATCTAAAGGCTTCGTTGTCATTTGAACAACATTTACAGAGAAATGGTTTGAAAGTCTAGGCTCTTCCAACAGTGCAGCATACGATGTGTTTAAGACATAAAAGACTTGAAATAATGTCAAAAATAAGTAGGAAAAAGCACGAGTTCTTTAATCGATTGCAGCCATGCTTGGATGTTCGTGCAGCTTATCTTATTTCTCCTTTATCTGTATTTTCTCAGTGAGCTGTGGAAAGACCCGTCTTCCTTCGCTCCGGATCGTTTCCTGTCCTCTGACGGCAGCGAGGTGAACAGGCAGGAAGGAGAGAGAGTGATGGTGTTCGGCATGGGGAAGAGGCGCTGCATCGGAGAGGTCATCGCTAGAAACGAAGTGTACCTCTTCTTGGCGATCATCGTCCAGAAACTGCACTTCCACGCCATGCCGGGGCAAACGCCGGACATGACCCCCGAATACGGACTCACCATGAAACACAAACGCTGCCACCTGAGGGCCACGATGAGGACCAACGAGGAGTGAAGATACTCATATCTGTGCAATTTACGACTCAACTGAAGTCGACTCAAACACTGCAAAGGGTCAGAAGAACAGAGCGAAGAGGCGTCCTCAGAATGTCCTAGATGTTTGATCTACAGAGCTAATGGCATTAAGGGAAACGTGCTTCTTGCAGATTGTCAGAGATGAACATGTTTTTGGTTCTCTCAGAGATATTCCTGCACATTGTTGGTGCTTCGAAGAAGGAGCTGCGTGGTTCTGCTGTGCATTAAATAAACTGCATTATTAAGAAGTTGTGAACCTCTGCTTTGTTTGGGACGAGCAGGTTTTACTGAGGCATTATTATTTAGGCGGTTGCAACCTAAATTCTTTCCTTCTCTCACACAGGACTCTGAACTGAAACGAAAGTACCTTGTGATAGCATTTAAACGTGTAAGCTAACTATTTCCCATTATAATGTGGATTGAAGACACTGAAGCTATATCTGTATCCCAAAATGTGATTCTTTTTTTGTGTGTATATCAAGCTATTTGTATTTTTTAAAGACATTTGTATATGCCTAGCGTTTGTATATTTTTGAGGTGAGAAAAGTTTTCGCTCTGCATCTTTAAGAAAGCCAAAAGAGTTATTTTGGAATATATATGTTTTGTTACTTCCCATTGTAAAGCGTCCTTGGGTTTCGTGAAAGGCGCTATATCAATTGAAATTATTATTATTATTATATCAGTCGACCGTTTTTTGTATTTGTGTCTCTAATGCATCGATGATTGTATCACATGTAAGGGCATTGGATCGGAGCGTCCTTTAATCAGCCACGCAAATAAAATATGTTGTAAGAATGATCTTGTTCCTATTGTTTGCTTTATTTAAAAAGAAAACTATTTTACCCACACGGTATTAAAGTGATAGTCCTCACATACAGATGTATGCAGTTACTAATGTGTAGAAAAGTGAATTCATGTCAGAGAATAACAACGTTTTGAGCGCTTTGGTAGTAGTAGAAGTACTCAGATCTTGTTCTTGAGTAAAAGTAGAAGTACTCAGATCTTGTTCTTGAGTAAAAGTAGAAGTACTCAGATCTTGTACTTGAGTAAAAGTAGAAGTACTCAGATCTTGTACTTAAGTAAAAGTAGAAGTACTCAGATCTTGTACTTGAGTAAAAGTAGAAGTACTCAGATCTTGTACTTGAGTAAAAGTAGAAGTACTCAGATCTTGTACTTGAGTAAAAGTAGAAGTACTCAGATCTTGTACTTGAGTAAAAGTAGAGGTACTCAGATCTTGTACTTGAGTAAAAATAGAAGTACTCAGATCTTGTTCTTGAGTAAAAGTAGAAGTACTCAGATCTTGTACTTGAGTAAAAGTAGAAGTACTCAGATCTTGTACTTAGTAAAAGTAGAAGTACTCAGATCTTGTCCTTTAGTAAAAGTAGAAGTACTCAGATCTTGTTCTTGAGTAAAAGTAGAAGTACTCAGATCTTGTACTTGAGTAAAAGTAGAAGTACTCAGATCTTGTACTTGAGTAAAAGTAGAAGTACTCAGATCTTGTACTTGAGTAAAAGTAGAAGTACTCAGATCTTGTACTTGAGTAAAAGTAGAAGTACTCAGATCTTGTACTGAGTAAAAGTAGAAGTACTCAGATCTTGTACTTGAGTAAAAGTAGAAGTACTCAGATCTTGTACTTGAGTAAAAGTAGAAGTACTCAGATCTTGTACTTGAGTAAAAGTAGAAGTACTCAGATCTTGTACTTGAGTAAAAGTAGAAGTACTCAGATATTGTACTTGAGTAAAAGTAGAAGTACTCAGATCTTGTACTTGAGTAAAAGTAGAAGTACTCAGATCTTGAGTAAAAGTAGAAGTACTCAGATATTGTACTTGAGTAAAAGTAGAAGTACTCAGATATTGTACTTGAGTAAAAGTAGAAGTACTCAGATATTGTACTTGAGTAAAAGTAGAAGTACTCAGATCTTGAGTAAAAGTAGAAGTACTCAGATCTTGTACTTGAGTGAAAGTAGAAGTACTCAGATCTTGTACTTGAGTAAAAGTAGAAGTACCAGAGTGTAGGAATACTCTGTTTCAGTAAAAGTCCTGCATTCAAAATGTTCCTCAAGTGAAAGTAGAAAAGTATTCTCATCAAAATATAGTGAAAGTAGCGACAGTAAAAGTAGTCATTGTGCAGATTGGTCCATTTCAGAATAATATATATGATATGTTTTATAATGATTGATCATGAAAGTGTTCTCAAAGCTGGTAAAGGTGCAGCTAGTTTGAAGGACTTTGTATACTGCAGGGTAGCTGGTGGATTTACTCCAGGTGGAACTAAAGACTGATTAACACTTGATTATATTTCACATCATTCATCCACATCTGTAAAGTAACTAAAGGTATTAAATACATGCAGTGGAGTAAAAGTACACCATGTACCTCTGAACTGTAGAGGAATAGAAGAACAATGTAGCATAACATGGAAATACACAAGTAGGCTACAAGTACCTCTAGTACTTAAGTACAGTTCTTGATTAAATGTTCTAAGTTACCTCCCACCTCTGAGTTTATGCAGTTGAAGGTTTCAGGGGATGAAAGTAAAACCATAATTCCTGAAACACTTTTTACCCTAAATAAGTGACTTGAGAGGAGAAAAACTAAGGAAGGGCTACAAAAAAAAATCATTTCATAAAAAAATCACAACAAACCCACGTGGGAGATAAAGGAAGTGACGTAGCGTATCAAACCGGAAATCAATACGAACAACAGTGGAGCTTCTGTGGCTTTTCTTGACTCTTCGCTACAGTTTTATTGACAAGGTATTTAATCCATCATCCACTGGATATCCTCAGTTTGAACCTTTAAACAAAGTCAAGCCTTTGATACGAATTCAAAAGACGTTGCTTTAGATTAAAAGCAAACCGGAGGAAGAGACGCGAAGCTAATGCTAACTGTGATGCTAGCAGTAAACACACGTTGCAGTTTGTTTATCTTACAACATGTTGTTATTTTAATTACATGTTTACATTACAGGTCACTCTCTGAACTCTCACCCCATGTCATTTATTTTACCGTCAGGTTTTTAATAATCAATGATACTTTAGTCAGGTCCAAGACACACATGAACAACTCTTTAAAACAACGCTCGCTAAAGCTGGGCGTGGACACACATGAACATCCCATAATAAGCTGTTATCTGTTATCCCAGCTAAACAGAGGTGGAAGAAGTATTCAGAGGCTTTAGACTAAAAGTATACATTATTGTCAAAGTACGTATGAGTAAAAGTCCTGCATGTACTTAAAGTATATAAAGTAAAAGTACTCATTGTGCCTTTATGTGTGTATTTAATTATATTTATATGTGACATTCTGGATGATATTGTTGCATTGTACTGCTGTAGACAAACACAGTTCTGATTGACTTTTAGTTAAATATTTGACTCTTTTGTGACTTAAAGAGTTAGTCCACTATGTAAAAGCTGTTAAATAAATATAGTGGAGTAGAAGTATAAAGTAGCATTACATATACATTCTCAAGTAAAGTACAAGTACCTCAAAATTGTACTTAAGTACAGTAGTTAAGTACAAACTGTGTGCAATATATAAATACCGTTAATAACTGTAATATATACCTGGCTGCTAAATCCTAAGAACTGTTACAGGATGTGTATTTTTTTTAAATTATGTAACTTTAAATTATATATTTTTATTATATCATAATTTAGTAATTTTTTGAATGCATGTCACATATTTAGCATATGTAACATTAAGCTGTCTGTGGCTCTTTTCCCGCTGTAACTGCGCATATTTCCCCTCCGTGGGACTGGCGTACAGCCACTAAGTACCTTTTAAATATTTGGTGCCATTTTGCATCAGCCAATGGGAATCCTTATTTATCCTGAATAAATACAAATTGATGACATTTTTCCTTTTTTTAAAGGTTAGAAAAATATGAATCTAGCTGATTATTTAATGGAGTTTAGTTCTCCATGGTAGAGAAGCCAGATGATAAGAGCTGCATTTAGGCAATACACGTGTACAGACAACAAATACTTTAAATACTTTTAGGCCTAAATCCTTTTAATGCTTTAATTTAGAGCTGCAATGATTACTTGTCAAATTGATAAGTCTCTCACAAATCACCAACTATTCTGGTTGCCACAGAACACTGAAATAGAACATATTGTCAACATTCAACATTGCATTAAGGATCACACAGCCGTGCTCGAAGCATCATTTCTCTTCATGTTTTACCCTCAGCGAGCAGCATGGCCACGGACTGGTTTGAGAGCGTCGTGTCGATAAACTGCGGCCTGACGTTAGGAGTTTATCAGGGATCCGTTTCCTCCGTGGATCACAGAAACCAGACCATCTCTCTGAAGCTTCCCTTTCACAACGGGGTCAGGTGTTCCCTCCCAGAGGTCACCTTCAGGTGGGAGAGACCGGGGACACACTCTCCCTAATTACACTTCAACAGGAAATACATAGATCTAATAAATACACCTGAGACAATGGTGAAGGCTCTACGACAGATGTCTGCATTTCATCCTCTCTCCACCGCTTTACCCTAATGCTATTTCCAGAAGTAATTGTTAGTTGCTGCCCGTTATGTAAATGAATCCGGTATCCCCTTAAATGTACCTTCTCCAGCCATTGATCTTTTACCCCTCGGGTTGTCAACTGAAAACCAAAGTATCTAGAGTCCTGTTGATTTCTTTGTGCAGTTTGAGCTCTCAGTGTGTTACAAGTTCCAACATCCACACATACAGATATGAACAATGAGTGAACGAGACGTGTACAAACGAGTGGGCGATCCATGCTTAATATACAACATGTTACTTACTAAAACGTAACCAACCAAGTAGCAAAAAACGAAATAAAATAACTAAATATTAATAATTAAAAAAAAGAATCTATTAGAATAATCAAATGCATTTATAATACGTTTATTTATTTAGTATAGCACCTTCACAGAAATAAATGTCACAAAGAGCTCCACAAGAAAGAACACAAGTTAAAATGGAGACCACATTTAAAGACAAACATAAAGGCAATGCAACCTTTTCCAAGCAGATGTTGACTCTCCTGCACGTCGCCTTGTTTTGTACAACGTGTTGCTTAATGAGATTTAGTGGAAACTGCTGACTAAAAATTATCAGTTTTATTTCATGTGAGATTTTCAATAACTCATCTTTATGACCCTTTCTTGTTTTTCCCCATCCCCTGCGTCGACCTGAAAGAAACCGGCAATATCAATAATAGCATTTTCTATCTCTGTGTTTTTGACTCATTAATGGCGCATTTCCACTGCAGCGGGTAGCCCCGTTTAAGCGTCCTTAACCGTCCTCAAGCGGCCAGGCCAGTTTTTGGTGGCGTTTCCATATAGCCTAGTACTGGCTAGCGGGTACTTTTTCCCTCTTTTTCCGGCCCCATAAAATCGTGGTTCTATCAGGCCAGGGCCAGGGCTGAACTAGTGACGTCAACACTCTCGACTGCTGATTGGTCAGAGAGAATCGTCACAAGATTGCGCGCGAGTTCATCCCTAGCGTCGCATATATATCTAGAAGCAAGCTTGCAGCATTTTTATAAACATCATTTTGTAAACGGATGAGCTACAAACATGGCTACGTCTAATAAGAAAAGCACACAGTGGTCGACCGAGGAGGTGACGACGTTCCTTCATCTCATTGGGGATGATCAAATCCAGCGGGAGCTCGACGGAACAACTCGAAATGTGAACAAAAACAAAGCCGATCGCCCCGCCTACACTGCGTTGCTACCCCAGGTCCTAAACTGTAATGGAAATGCGCCACGGCCTGGGCCGGCCAGCAAGGCAGCCCGAGGCCTGAGCGAGGACGCTTAGGGACGCTTAAACGGGGCTACCCCGCTGCAGTGGAAATGCGCCATAAGATTAACTATCAGTCGATTCTCCGATCGTGAACTATTCTCTAAATTGAGTGAGAATCAAAGGAACCTTTCATGCTATAATCTCATACATCTTCATAAAGAATGTTTCCCTTCTGTTTCATAGTAAAGTGAATATCTTCTGGTTTTGGAAAGACATCACTTTGAGAAACTGTCATGGATCATTGTCACTATTTCCAGACCTTTTTAGGCTTTCCTTTCTGTCTCTTTTAGTGCCAGGGATATAAAGGAGCTGAAGATCCTGGACTTCCAGAGAACCGTCTCAGAACCCAGTTCTGATCCGGGTTCTGCAGCAGAACCCAGCCTCGTCCCTGCAGAACGTCAGGGACAGCCTCTTCATCATCAGGGGACTAACAGCACGGCTCCCATCACCATCCTACGCAGAGGTGGGTTACATCACCCTATCAGGGAAAAGAATGACATCAGAGTCTGTAATACCGAACAATTAGTGGCATTGTTGAATTACACATCAAACCTAACCATTAGGGAGGCAATGGTTTGGAAGTTTGGGGTCACGTCCAGTGTTTAAAGTCATAATTTGAGCGATACGATTGGAATTCGCTGAGATTTTTAAGCTTTTGTTGTTATTTAAAGTCTGATATCTAAAAAACAACAACCTTAAATATTCAGTTTTCAATTCAAGGCTTTGTTGTCATGTGCCCGTCACCATCCTGTACAGAGGTGGGCGGGGGCGGACTGGGACTACAAATCAGCCCGGGATCTCGCTATTAAATTGTTAACGGGGGGAACGGGGTGCTAGTGACTTATCCGACCGGCCCACATCGGCCAGTCCGCCCCTGGAGGTGGGTTTAATAAGATAAGATAAGATGGACCTTTGTTAATCCCCGTGGGGGAATTCAGTAGTTCAACAGCAACAGGGTGACACTGTAGAGGTTTCTCAATACTCTAATTTCCCCTCCTCGACTCCCCTCCTCGAGACTTGGTGCCGCCCACAGGAGATGCGAGCGGAGGACTGAGGAGGGGAACCGAGGAGAGAGGAGGGGAAGCAGCAGGCGGTTAGAGAAATGAGAACTCCTCTCCTCTGAGCGGTCATTTTAAAGAGTCCATTAATGATGACAGGAGGCACAGCAGCCCTCTGTGTGATGGACAGATGTGTTCATGATGACTTATATATTTACTTTGATTCATTCACAGTGCGGTGTAATGAGACAATAACAGGCTACAGATGCGGACACACATATATTTATATAAATATATACAATTTCAGAATCAAACAAGTACGAGAGCACTCTCATAATAACGTAACACAATCAGAGACTGGATATATCGCCCCCCCCCTTACGTTCGACCATTTATTGTAGGAAAGAAAGAGAAACTAAGACAATATGTCCAGATGCCGATAACCTTTAAGTGCGATGACGATGCTACTGATGGTCAAGGATATTCAGTATCAATGTGTGTCATTTATACTATCTCTTTCCATTCAAAACAACACAGAGCAGGTGAGTGCCGCCGGTTAACACAACCACTTACTCCGCGCAAAACTCCAATAATACGTACAAAACACCATCAATTTGGCTCCTACGATCGGCTCCTGATGTCCGCCAAATCGGTCTTTGTTAGCCGATGGCAGTCAACGAGGTGAATATTGGCGTCCCTTATTCTCAATAATTGGACAAACATTGGAAACATCTCGTTAACAGCCGGTCCTATTCATTTAAGCAGGCATGATAGACCTGTTTGACATCTTTGGTGTGAGTGAAGGAAGGAAGGAAGGAAGGAAGGAAGGAAGGAAGGAAGGAAGGAAGGAAGGAAGGAAGGAAGGAAGGAAGGAGGAAGGAAGGAAGGAAGGAAGGAAG